TGAGCAGAGAATTTTAAGAGGACTTTGTTGGAAAAGTAAAACACATCCTCTATTCCACCTAAGAACAACTATCAAACAGCAAAGCCTAAAGACTAATCGGATTGCCAAAACTTTGTTTAGTTCTTCCCAAGCCCCTGAATGCCCCAAATGTGATCGACACTGGACACAACTTTGCTGTCATCAACATCAGCTCGGAGCCTTACTTTGGGGATGGACCAATCAAATCCAAGAAGCTTCTATACAAACCTGTTAATCATTATGAGGCTTGGCGGCACATTCAAGGTAAGGTTTGGACAGGAGAGGCCCCAGCTGGGGATGTAGCACCAGGAAAAAAAATTCCCCAAATATAGACATCCCTTTCTCCCTACTGCAACCTTCTACCTCAAGGTGGCAGAGAATCCATTTCAGAGGGTTCAGGACAGAGTATAAAGGGGACCTCTGGCTTCTGGGGCTGACTTTGTGGAAGGCGTTGTGTGTTATGGACACAGAACCAGCCTGCATCATGAGTTGCTGTAAATATCTCCTCCTCAGGCTTCTCTGCCTCTCCAGTCCTGTTTACAGCTACTCTGTCTGCCTGGTCGTGGTGGTTTACACCGTGAGTAAGGGAACGAGAAAGTCCAGGCCTGCTGGAAAGACAGAGAGACTTAATCTGCCCAAATTCTAGAAGGGGTCATTGCTGCTATGTTGAGTCATTTATTTTTTTTTTCTCATTCCATGTCTTGCCCTGTCTTGCAGGCCCCCAACACAGATTTTTGGAGGAATTTGCACCTGCAAAGCTGGGGCTGTGGCAGACCAGATGGGGGTGGGTGGGGACAGTATGGGTAAAGAGAATCATGTGTTCCTACCCCAAATTCCTGGAAGGAAAAAATAATAATTCAACACAATGTGACCAAATGTCCAAAGTTCATGGAAACAGTTAATTTTGAAACACAAATTACAATTCTATTTGTTGCGTGATGATGTAAAACCACAATTTTTAAAAATAAAACTGTATATTATCAGTTGACCATGTGGCTTTGATTAGGCTATTGTATAGAGACACCTGCCACTATCGTGCTTGTAGGTAACATGTATACCTCCACCAATACCTTGGTCTCACTTTGTCTCTGATTTCCTATAAAGGACCCTCTACCCACTGTATGTAGGTAATTTGAGAAAGTTACAGAAAAAGGGAAGAAAAAGAGGCTTAATAACACTAGCTGACCTGGGTTCACTGAATAAAGTCATGGAATTATGACTGAGCTCTTCACATTCTATTGTAGACCCAGACAAAATTCAAGATCTTAGGGATGTAAGGCTGATTTTCTGGACTGCTCTTTTCCAATATCAATGGTGAGGTCATTTTTTGTCATATGGTGGTAATCCATTGCTATTTCTACAAGTGGACATCCACAAAGTGATCTTCTAAGAACTGTTAAACACAGCCCAATTTTTTTAACCAACTAGGAATTTATCACATGTTAAGGCAAAATTTATCTTTGCAGTATGCATGGAGAAATAGAAGCTGGGTAAAGCAATCACTAAGGAGAAAAGAGGCATATAACATTTGTTCGTGAGAACTATTCTCAAGGACTTCAGAACCCTTCATTCTAATGTATGAACATTACAAATCAGTTTTCTGGTCACTTTAAACAAACCCTCAAAGAGTCTTTTTCTCTTGAGAGCTTGATTGCAATCAGTGTATGTACTTGAAAAGAGTAGAAATTAGATTATTTTACTCTAATTGAGTTTTCCCCCTAAATCTGGTATTCCGTACAGTATGAGATTTGTGAGATTTTATTCCACAAACAAAATGACAAAAGCACTAGAGGAGAAATGTGTAAGTGGCACAGAGATACACATACTAATATGTACATTGTAGCCTGGAAACATCCTTTCAAAAGCCTAATTTTTCTTGTATTAGGAATGATGAGGCCTTGAAGATGGAATTGCTTCTTAGTTTCACTAAGACATATTTTTAAAAACCTAAAATTAGTTCACGTCACAGTAACAATTCCAGTTTAAAAATGTAAAAGGATGCCAACCTAAGTTTCCTGGACTTTCCCTCTTCTCAGCGACAAATGAGATTGTTACACTCAACTATTTGGAACCCCGAACAGAATACGAGCTGTGCGTGCAGCTGGCCCGCCGAGGAGAGGGTGGGGAAGGGCATCCTGGACCTGTGAGACGCTTCACAACAGCTTCTATCGGTCAGTGGAAGCCAACAGGCACTTATTCATGAGCCGGGTGGGAGGGGGAGGAAGGGGAAAGAGGAAGGAAGACCAGGAAGGGTGGTGGTGGGTAAGTGGGTGGGTGGGGATGGAGGTGGCAGGCGTTTGCTTTTGAATGGGTGGGAAAGTGACAGGAAGGCCAGAAACTTAGAGCCAAACCATTCCTTTATTTGGGCTGGAGACCTGGTCTGTCTCCCTGGGGGAGGGGGTCTGCAGCAACCCGTGGGGACAGAGAAGGAAGCAGATGAGCCTTCAGGAAGGCAGGGACATCCCTAAGGAGTTGGGATTTACTTAGCAGTGACTGTCCTGAGACTGGGCGCCTGCATTTTACCACCAGCATCCTGTTTCCATCTGAAGGGCCCAGGCCAGGCTCTTGCTGCGGACGTATTTCAGAAACCTCAGTTTATTTATTTTTAAAAATGATTTCTAATTTTTCAAAGTAATTCATGCATGCAGTGAAAACATCAAATGGAATGAAAGGCTTTTATCTGAAGAACAGTGTCCCCTCTCTGCGCCCCTCCACCTCCCAGACCCACTTCCTATAGACAGCCACTGTCGTCTCCTTGAACCATTTCTTACAAGAGTCACCTCCAGGATTCTAAATCGATAGTTCCCAAACATGAGTGTCTATCAGGATCACCTGGAGAGTTTGTTGGGCCCCATGCCCGGAGTTTCTAATTCAACAGGTTTGAGATGCGGGTCAGTAATTTGCTTTTCTCGTAAGTTCCCAAGTGATGCCTGATGTTGCTGGTCCTGGGTCCACATCTTCAAAATAATGTGTGTAGAAATATTTTATGATTTATCAATGTTAGGTAATATCAACTGGCTTTCTAGTGTTTTAATTGAGGTGCTCTTGAATTCATGAAGTCTCCTTGACGCTCACCTGGGTTCTGGCTTTCTGCCGCCCAGGTACCTTTCTCTGAAACAATGGAGTGATGTCCTCTGTGAAGTTTTCTGTTCTTTGACTTGTTCACTGTGTTACTAACGAATTTGTTCACTGTGTTACTACTTCCCTGTCACTATCCTGCATTACTATCTCCGGATCAGTGCTTTATAGTTTTGGGTTCATATATATTTAATTCATCTTACCTTCGAGGGTAAGAATTACCATCTTCCCCATTTTATAGATGAAACGTAGAGTCTCAGAGTGGTTGATAACTTGCCCATGGTCATGCATGCTATGGCCCCATATCCAATTATTATTATTGTTATTATTATTATTTTATCTAGGATCTCAAAGGCACCATTTTCTTATCCCAATTCATAAATTTTCCTATTTTTTAGTCCATTTACTAAAGGGAGAAGGATATGAAATGATTTAGTGAGAAAACTAGGGAGAACATCTAGATCTTCTTCTGCAGGGATTATGCACCCCTAACAGACACACCCTTTCTCCACCCACTCACCTAGTTTTCATCTGACCAGCAGCATCCTTAACCATATGGAACCCACAGCTACTCTGGGGCTTGTAGAAGGGTTCTACAAGTAGGAATTGGCTTCCTGGGGACCCTCCAGGTTGTGAATACAAAAAATAAAGTCAGAAACTATACATTAATTAGAGGCTAAAGGGACCCCTGATACTGCATCAGGTTGCTGCTAAAAAGCAAATGGTAGTTTGTTCTCCCTGAGGTCAGTGTTGATGAGTCGAAGGGGAAGGTTGTAATCTGACTCAGATGGAAAGTATTTATGAGGCAGAACATAAAACACTTCACAGCCCCACACCCTACTGTCTTCAACCCTCAGAATACGTTCCAGCCAGGATGTATTCAGAGGTCTCTTGGAATATTTCAAAGTAGTTCTCAGGGGTGGGCGGGAAGGGAATTCTTGAAGGTTCTTCTTTTCCCATCGTTCGAATTTTGCTGAAGTTTGTTTTTTAATTCATCTGGCAGTTGCATTATTTGTGTGTGTTGACTGAGGCGGTGAAGGCCAGGGAGAGCAGGAGGGGACGGAAGAGCACACGTTCTGAATGCACTGCAGAAAGACGGCAGACAGGGAGGGGTAAAGGGAAGGAAAAAGGGAAGTGACCATTTATTGGGTTACTCTTCTGCACCCGGCACAGGACTAGGAGGTTTACATGTATCCTCCAAAACAGCAAGTCTCCCTTCTGCTTCATTGTAAACCTGCCTAACCACCGGGCAGCTTCTTTTGGAACTTAGGGCTTTAGTTTAACCAGAGGGGTTGACATCACTACTCTCAGTTTGAGAAGGTTCTGGAGAAAGGAGCAATAAGACCTTTACCATAATGCCAAGCAAATGCATGCCTGATTTCTAGTTTGTACTAGACTGAGAGCAGTCAGACCTGGCTGGTGGGACTGACTTCCCAGAAGATGGAAACAGATCCTTTCTCTCACGTCTAATAAAGAGTTACAACGGCATTTCTCAACTTTTTCAAAAAAACTTTATTGCCTGTCCCCAAGGAGCTTTTTTAGATATCTTCATCCTAATAGATCCTTCCCCTCAACACCCATGAAATTTTAATACCACAAGACATACTCTGTTTGTGTATTATGGTCCTTTGTAAACCATTGCAATAATCTAAGATTTTCTCATACCCCAAGAACTAATATTTTGCCCCCTAGGAGTAGTAACATACCCATTGGAAATGCATAAATTAGAGGATCCCTATCCTATGTTTTGGAAGGGCTTTGTATCTGCAATAAAAAAATCACTTTATTGTGATTAACTGAAAAGTCACAAATTCCTCCTTTGTCCATTGACATAAGACATCTTGAAAGAAGGGAGGGAGGGAGGGAAGAAACTGATGTTAATAGAGCCCCTAACACCTTCCAAGAATTTTCATATCCATTTTCTCATTTATTCCTCCTGAGTCTGGAAGATGGGTATTTTAATTGCATTTTACAGGTGTACGTGGAGAGAGTATGAATCCGCCCAAGGTATGAAACTAAAGTGCATGTTTCAGTTTCTCTGATTTTAAAATCCATATTGTTTCTATTCAGCGAGGTCTCGTGGGTAATTATAGCCAGGCAGCATGTGATCGTAGCAGATACCTTGATGTAATCAGAGCAGAGCTAGGCCTGGCCCTGCCACCACAGCTGTATGATGTCTGAAATTCTTCTTGCTAAGGGGAAGTAAACCTGAAATTGCTTTAAAATATATTGCTCAAACTGGTAACAGAAACGCCACACTCATCCACAATTCCACGACCTCAGCAAATCCACTGTTTTCATTTTTATCGGTTTCCTTCCTATCTGTCACCATTGTAGACATGACTTTTACCAAGCTGCAATCAGAGCTTTTTCTCATGTACTATAAATATTTTGATTGGACTCCCATACTTTTCCTACTTATCTATTTTAATCCACTGGATGGCTACATCATAATTTATTAAAGCATTTTCTTATTTTGAGTATTTAGAGGTTTCTTCCAATTGTTTGCTATTATAAATAATGTTGTAGTGAACGTCTTCATGCACATAGCTTTTTCTCTTCCTCTGGAGTATTTCTTTAGGATAAAACCCTGGTATTCAGATATTGGGCCCGAAGTATATGATCATTTCTAGGGCTCTTGGAAAATATTTCCAAGTTGTTTTCAAATGGGGTTGAACTCCTGTATTAAAATTACTCAAACTAAATATGAGAAATATTTTAAAGATTTGCTGTTTAGGTAGAGAAAGAAGTATCATCTGGCTGCCAGCTCGTGTTTCTTTGATAGGTTGTGAAGCTGTATGTTATTCTAGAAGCCAATGTTATTCTTTGAAACTGCCCTTTGGGGCTATCATTACCTCTACCCTACATAGAAATAATGATCTTTCTGGTTTCTCCTAGGACTCCCTCCTCCAAGAGGTCTCAATCTCCTACCAAAAAGTCAGACCACTCTAAATTTGACCTGGCAACCAATATTTCCAAGCTCGGAAGATGATTTTTATGTAGAAGTGGAAAGGAGGTCTGTGCAAGTAAAAAGTGATCAGCAGAATATTAAAGTGCCAGGCAATTTGACTTCGGTGCTACTTAACAACTTACACCCCAGGGAGCAGTACATAGTCCGAGCCAGAGTCAACACCAAGGCTCAGGGGGAATGGAGCGAAGACCTTACCGCGTGGACTCTCAGCGACGGTAAGTGACACATGCTGCCCCAGCCTCACCTGAAAATCATGTGGCTGTTGCCATTTGGACTGAGCTACCATCACTTCAAGACTATTTCTTAGAAATCATAAAAGGAAGTTAGTTGTGAGTAGAAGCTAATTAGTGCCTCTACCTAATCATTTTAATAACCTGCAATGTATCAAAAAGCCCTATATATTCAGATTTGCAATAATTCAAGCAGGATTGTACTAAAATTGACCTTTCCTTGGTATGGAGTTGTTTTTTAAGTAAGTTAGTAACATGAATAAGATTTTCTAAGCCTTGTTTAATCAGTTATAGGACAGTTTTTTGGATTGTCATGTATCCATATGTACACAGATGTTGATTAACTACAGATGGGTCTTTCTTAATCTTAAAAGCCAAATAACTTTGCTTGAAAACCCTTTATAACAGATACTTTTTGGAGTTAAAATATATATCTGAGAGTAATAAAACTGATTTTTTTCAAAATATTCTGCATTTTAGGCTTTTCTCTATTTCTGATTGGTCATTAAAATTAGTTGGAACTTCTTAGATTTCTTCCTAGTGCTGAAATTTTTTTCATCATTAAGCAGAGAGTTCTAATTTGACTCACTGACGTTAGAACAGTGTCTGTGCATTTTGGAGCCCTTGGAAAGATGAGATACTTCTTGACCACGCCAGCTACCACTTACGTCAGGATCACGGGATCTCTTGCCAAGCTCTCAAATCTGAGGCTGTCCTCTGCATCTGGCCTCCACCTTCTCAGTGACAGGTGTAGAAGTTGTGTTTTTCCAGCCACTCTTCTGTATCAGTGCCTTGTGAAAGTCTGCACTGTTTTGTCAGTGTTTAGGGATTCTTCATCACGTATATTTTTTAATTCTGTGAAATTTACAAGTTCCAGAATAGTGCAGAAACACAGCAAACATTCACATTCCTACTACCCAGAATTAACAACTGTTAACATTTTGTCATATTTGCTTCCAGCATTTTTTTGTTGACTTATGGAGGTAAAAACAATACAGATGTATTGAAATCCCCTTTGATCATCATCCCTACTCTATTTCTCTTTCCCTCTTCCCAAAGATGACCAAAATTATGAGTTTGTTATGTATCTTTCCATTCAATGTTGTATAATTTTAATATATATATCCATAAGTATACATATGCATACATATCATTCACCTTTTTTGAATAAACATTATGATTTTTATTTATCCATATTTATTTAGATCTGATGCATGACTTTTAAACTTCTGTATAATCTTCTATCTTATGAATATATCATGTCATTCATCCATGCCCTTTTAGATGGACATGTAGGCAGTTTTCATTTTTTTACTATCACAAACAAAAATGCAGTGGTCATCCTTATGCATGTCTCCGTGTGTAGGTGTGAGAGCTTTTCTAGGGAACATGTCCAGAAGTGGAACTCCTGGGCTATTTCCCTCTAAAGTGGCCATTCTATGTGTACTATGTCCAGGAGTGCATGAGAGTGCTATTCCTTATCCCCATCTCTGTATATATCTTTTCCCTTCATCTATATCACTTGATAGTGTCAGATTTTTTATTTTTGCCCATCTCAAAAGCAAAAAATGGTACTTCTATTAATTTCAATTTTCATTTCCTTGATCACTAGCAAGGTTAAGCATCTTTTTCTATGTTAATTGGTCTTTTGGTTTTCATCTTTTTTGATATACTTGTTGATATACATTGCCCATTTGTTATAGATTGTCTTTCTTATTTGTAAAAATTGTTTATATAATATGGATACTAATCTTGCTATATATACTTCAAATATATTCTCCTAATTCCTTTATTGTAACCTTGTTTGTGGTGCTTTTGTCCCATAGACACTTTACATTTTGATGCAATCATACCCGTTGATATTTGCCATTATGACCTTTATTTTTCATGTTTTGGAATTATTACCTATCCCAAGGTCATAAATATATTCTCTATATCTTTTCTAGCAGTTTTAGTGTTTTGCATATTTAGGTCTTTAAGATATAGGAATGTTATTTTGGGGTATGGTGTTTTTTAATATTTTCATTTTAGTCTTATTTATTCACATACAGCAAGTCAGGGGTCCCAATGCCGTGTATTGAATAATGCCCCTGGTGACTCGTGATGCTTCCTGTATCATATGCCAAGTTCTCATATTCGTTTTGGATCTATTTCTGAACTCTCTGTTCCCTTCCATCAATCTGTGTTTGTTCCTATACTATTCCTAGCCTGTTTAAAGTAACTATAGATTTGTGAAATGTCTTGATAACAGTAGTGTGAATAACTACTTTCTTTTTCAAAATTTTCTTAGATGTTCACTCACTAGTCTATATTTTATCCTCATTAGAATTATACACTATTGAAATCACTCTCATTTTTGTTTATAGGATTAAACAAAAACTGGCTAGTAGTCATTGAAAGTGGACTTGCCGTGGGTGACTGTATGGAGTTTACGGAGGGTTTCTGCTGGTGGTGGTGGTAGGGGTGTGAGATTGGCAGGGTAGGAGTTGCTGCCTACAGCAGAGTCAAGAAATAAGGGGAAAGAGGATGTGAATGAGAATGTTTTAATTTTAACTGAAAATATTTGTTGTTATGCTGAGTTGTCATTGGCAGATCTTGCATATCAATTGTTCAGAAGTAAAATTAATGCTTCTAGTTATCAAGTTTGTGTTGGTTTCCATCCTAGCAATTCCATCTGTTCCAAGTGTAAGAAATGAAGTGAATTAGATTTGGCATATGGCCCCAAACGTATGTAAAAAATAATATATGTGTATAATGTTTTCTTGTATAAAAAACATTTATATGTAGAATATTTGACCATTAAAATGACTTTATGAGGAAAGTAGGGTAAGAATTATCACCACATTTAACAGATGACAAACCTAAGGCCCAGAGGGTAAATGACTTGCCCAAAGTTATGCAGCTGGTTAAGTTGTGGGGTTTAGGATTCTAATCCACGTTTCAGTTCTTTTTTTATACCCTCCCAAACCATGCTACAAATGTCTTCCATTCGTCTCTTTGGATTGGCAACCAGCTGCTTCCAAGCAACTTCAGTTCTTGGAGAAGTTCCTTTAGTAGTGATATCCCACTTCTAAATTAAGGGCTAATTAGTGTTTCCTAAAGTGCTTTATAATCTACATTAGAGTCCCGTGGGGAAGCTGTTAAAATGTAGATTGCTGGGCCCAGACCCACTGAATCTAAATCAGAGGTCCCTTGAGCTATCCCTAAGTGTGACTCCTTTCAGGCATAAAATGGATAAATAGGTAGAGGCAAATTTATGATTTTTAGTTGGCATCAAAATTATATTCATTATTTTTCTAGCAGTGTCTGCAAGGTACTGCTTCTTTTTCTCACAGGCTTAGAAGACCACTGGTTTATGAAGTTGACTTTTTTTGAGGCACAACTATACAAATATTAAATATGTGTTCACAGTAATCTGAATATGTTAGTATTCCTATTACCCTGTAATCTTCTTGTAGGAAGGAAGGTTATATTTTTATAAAAATATATAAAAAGCTTGGTACTGGATGCAAAGGAAGATAAGATATACTGTTAATTGTGATTTTTAGATAATTTGTCACCTGCTAGACATAGAAAATAACATTCATATTTGGAAAGCTCAAAATCCAATATCTAATTCTCATAAATTCCCACAGTTATCTAATGAGTAACATGGGGAATCAACATAATGGAAAGAGAAACCTTAGAATGAAGAAGAAACTCTGAGAATTTAGAATAGAAAGGAATATACCTTAAGACACTTCTCAAAGGTTCTAATTTGCTTATAAGCAGTAACTTTCATATGGGAAGACACTGATGTATGGAGTGAAACACCCTGAGTCTACTAGTTGCTTACTGGGACCAAAGTCCCTTAAGTTTTTGAAGTCTCAGTTTGCTCATCTCTAAAATTTAAAGAATAAAAATCTCAGCACTGCCTACCTGCCTGCCTGTGGTTATGAAAGTCAAAGAAAGAGTCTGTATGTGGAAGCACATTGTAAACAGCCTCACAAATGTAAGGTAAAGTTAATATTAAGGGCAAGACCTTGGATTCATTCTTTTCTTGGATTAAATATCTGTAGGCTTTATTGGGTCATGAACTTCCCTTTTAGCCTGTGCCCTTTAGAAAAAGAGTTTAGTGAGAATGCAGGGAGGATTCTGTGCATGTCATCTTCACACCTGGAAAAACTCAAAATATCTCCTTCTCATCCTGCCTAGGCCCATGAATGGAAGGTGATCTCGCTTTTTCCCAAGTTCCTATAGCACTTTGTCTACTAAGTGCTTAATACATTTTCTCATGTGCACACAGACTTGCCAACTGCTTCACTAATGCATTTGGGGAAAGAACAGGCCACATGACACTAAGACTATGGGCTATGGAACCAGACTGCCAGGAGTTGAATCCTGTTTCTTCTATTAATACTTAATAGTAGTGTGACCTTGGCTAAGTCACTTAATCTCTCTGGGCCTTAGTACTCAAATAGACTGTCATAAAGAACAAATGAGTTAATATATAGAAGGGCCTAGAACACTGCCTGGCATATTGTAAGCACTATATAAATGTCAGTTCTCATAATCTTTCCTTTCTTCCCAGCATCAAGAACAGCGTTATATGTTTGTGGAATAACAGAATTTCTGAGGCCTTTGTTTAGTGTAAGGATGACAAATCAGTGATATGTGCGTTGCCATTTTCTTATCTGTGCCATTCTTTCATGTCTGCATGGACTTGGAATCCAGTAGCCACTACCAATTGATTGGAATTACCACCTAAGAAAACACCTATTTGCCTTTCATGGTTTCTGAACTGACATGAGCCATCTTTCAAAAGTGTGATGATCTAAGAGATGGTAGCATATCTTAAGTGATTTTTTTTTTTTTTCAATTTCTAGTTCTCCCTCCTCAACCGGAAAACATCAAGATTTCCAACATCACACACTCCTCAGCTGTGATTTCTTGGACAATACTGGATGGCTATTCTATTTCCTCTATTATCATCAGTTACAAAGTTCAGGGCAAGAATGAAGACCAGCACATCGATGTGAAGATAAAGAATGCCACCATCACTCAGTATCAGCTCAAGGGCCTAGAGCCTGAAACAGCTTACCAGGTGGACGTTTTTGCAGAGAACAACATAGGCTCAAGCAACCCAACCTTTTCTTATGAACTGCTGACCCTCCCAGAATCTCAAGGTTGGTAAAGTGGACAGGTATTTACATAGGATTATTTTTGCAGAATATCAGAAAAGCCCCACTGTCTTAAGATATTTACCCCACGTGCGTGTCATGTGGCACAATTCATTTGTCTTAATAGGATCTCAAGATATAGCCTTAAAATCAAAACAACTGTAGGGAGGATCCCTGTTGATCCATTTTCTATTATTAAACCTTAGAATAGACTAGCTTTTCAGCACACCCCATCCAGCAATCTAGGAAGAAAGCTCTGAGGAATATAAATTTTGATTCCAAGGAGAAAGAAGAATGTGGAACCTGCTTCTGGGAGGCAGGCCTGCGCCAGTGCTTCAGTAGGAGGCTCCAAGAACCGCACTCTGTTCTTTATCAAATCCGCTCCTCTTTAGCTTGGATGACACTGTGATATTCTGAGTTTTCTTCTACTTGTCTGATCTAGGTTATTAGGTCTCCACGTCCACCACCAAGCTCCACCCCAGAGTATAAGCTCCTTGAGATAAATAGAGATCTCCTTGGAGCGCCAAGCATACTATGGCCACTCTCTCTGATTGACAAAACCTGCTGAGTGTAATTCAGTGGACGAGGGCCCTGGTGTGGGCAGGGCTGCAGCACAAGGATCCGCTTTAAGTCCGTCCGTGCAGGTGGCCCCTCCGAACTCTCTGCATGGTGCAATGGGCACAGAGGCTGCAGATAGAGTCACCGGAGAGGGAAGGGCAAGTTTTACAAATTAATAGTTTGGACTAGAGTCTATTTTTACAGAAAATCTTAAAGCTAAATCTAAAAACTTCTTGTTCTTTTGAAGGGTTACCTAGGGCTTAAGAAACAAAACAAAGCAAGCTGTTTTTTTGGTGCTGATACTTTGGAACATTTTTGAAATGTCCAAGGAATGAAGAGTCTGCTAGTTATAGAGAATCATAGTTTTCACATCACACTCTTAATAAATGCCTCATTTTTACAATTACTTGTGTTTTGGTAAAATGTATATAGGTCTTAAATCCAAGCTATACATAAAATACCATGAGAAAAAAATTTTTAAAAAGACAGACCAAAAACCCTTCACCCTTCCAGCCATCTCTGTATTTGCACATGGAGATAGAAGGAAATACAGATGAGCACAGAAGATACTTTTAAGAAGATACTTTTAAGGGATCAGGCTCTATGTGCTATTGTTAATAAAAATATATTGAGTTTAATTTTATTTCAATTTATAAATGAGGGCAAGAAGTGGAAGGATTAGACCATAGTTTTTAAAAGTTTTTGACCTGAGTCCTAAATTTAATGTTTTTTTCCTTCTGTCTTTTCCTTCCTCCTTCCCTCCATTGCTTCTCCTTAGGTTTCCTTCACTAGCTCTTTAAAACAAGAAAAAACAAAGCGAAATATCTTATAGACTCTAAACTCTTGCATCATAGAACTTTAAAGCATTTCTAGGTGGGGAAATTGAGGTGCAGGGAGGTTTAGTCACTGTCCCAAAGTCATGCATCTAGTTAGTCATTCTCACTATTATTCAATGATCATCTGCTTGGGCTTCTACTTGGAAATAAAAGTTGAACAAATGACAATAAATAATGATGAGCACATTGCCATTTTAAAAGCACTTTGCACATGTATTTTATTTAAGATCTTATAACAACTCCGTGAGTCAGACTTACCTCCACTGAGTTTCAGAAAATAAACGAGTAGCCCAAAGTCACATAGCAATTAGATGGCAGGGCTCGGGCTGCCGTTACATTCCCATGGCCCTGCGTCTTCTCCCACAGATGGTCTTGGCCCTGTCTTTCTGCCTAACCTGGCTGCTCCTCTCTGTTCTCCCGCACAGCACCTGCGGACCTCGGAGGCGGGAAGATGCTGCTCATAGCCATCCTCGGCTCGGCTGGAATGACCTGCCTGACGGTGCTTTTGGCCTTTCTGATCATGTTGCAGATGAAGAGGGCAAATGTCCAAAGGAGAATGGCCCAAGCCTTCCAAAACGTGGTAGTGTCTCAACTTCCCACTAGCTAATAAGGGCAAGGCCCCATGTGGGCAGTACTTTCACTTCAGATATGGACCAGGAAATTTACTTGTAAAGCAAACATTTCCCTCCAGCAAGTCTCATCTTCTCTTTGGCTTCCATTACGAAAAGGGAGATAGAAAGCATGGCTGTATAATCTCTTGTCCAAACCAGGACAATAAGCATGCTCTTACTAAATTATGTAGGAAATCAGGCCTAAAATAGGACTGCCTTTCCCTCACCCTCCAAAACGAGATTTGTGGTTATCCTTGTAATAAATTACCAGAGAGAATAATCTTGTAATAGTATGAACTGAAAATTTTGGGGAAGGAAGGATATGAGGGTAACCAGACCTCAGCATGATAGGTAATGATGTATTGTACCAGACAGGTTTCCCCACTTTTTCCTGTTTCTAATTCCCATTTCCTATTTCTAATATCTCCCTTAATCCTATCACCCCTCATATATATATATATTTATACACACACACACGTATGAATTATAGATACATGTGTGCCTCTCCCTCTCCTCTGTGTCCTTTAGTCTACAGTCAGAGTTCATGGCACTGCCTCATTCTTTCATCTAGAAATTTTGACCAGTAGCAAAGGTCTACAAAATCACACTTTACCAACAGGTACCTTATTTGAGTTCTTTTGGTATACTAAGGCCTAAACATTTCTCTAGTTTGTGGTTTCAGGCCCCGTAAAATTAATTTGTAGTGGACTTTATCGATTCTGTACATAAAGCACTGAGCACAATGACATGTTTCAAATGAGGTGTGCTGTTATGTGAGTGAGTCCCCAGGTTTCCATCCAGGGAGATAAGAGGAGTTTCATTATCTGACTCTATCCAGAGCTGGCTCAACTCAGGCTGTCACTGGAGAGGAAGGACCAGCAAGGGTGTCGGGAGTGCTGGAGCCTGTCACAATACACCCATCAGTCATTTGAATTCAGGAGAAAAAGACACACTGTGTTGGGCTTTGCTAAGCATCAGTCATCCTGTGGCCAGAGTGGGCTTCAGAGATTCTAAACTTTAGGACAAAAATAGAGCAGGACCGAGATGATGTTAGGAAACCTCTCACTGAGACACAGTCTGCGACTGCCCCCGTAGAGGATCTCCAAGTGATTTTCCAAACCAGAACTGAACAACGGCTCATTACACAGGAGAGTGGGAGACTCACATATGACTGACTCGAGGGTGGCAAACACATGGCATACACACTGCTATTTTCCCCTCCCTCACCCTTTGCAGACATTGCTAATCAATAAGCTCTCCCACAGAGGCCTAGACTGGTGCCCGTGCAGCCTTCCAGGCAGCCAGGTCATCAGAGTGGGACTATGAGATGAAACCTATTTCCATTTCCAATCTAGAATTAGATACAGTATTTCTTTTGTCATCTGGTGTGGATACAAACCAGAAGGTATTATGCACCTTAGAATTATGAAAACTCCTGACACACAATGATGAAAAAATTATTTTGCCAGAGGGAAGAACCAGCTGTGCAGTTCAACTCAGGAACTCTGGCCCTAAACAGGAAGGTCAAAAACAACCCGGATCCTACAATTTATCCAGTGCTTGACTGGAATGACATCAAATTTCAAGATGTGATTGGAGAGGGCAATTTTGGCCAAGTTCTTAAGGCACGCATCAAGAAGGATGGGTTACGGATGGACGCTGCCATCAAGAGAATGAAAGGTCAGTGGTTGGCCAGGTAGAGTCAGCATTTCACTAGGGTGGGGAGAAAACTTGACTTCCTGTTGAATCTTTCCTCTGTGGTCTTACATTCTTTAAACCAAAATTGGCACGGTGTCAGAGATAGCTGTTATGTGCAACTGAAGGTGATGTTTCCTTTGAGGTCAAGCATGTGATAGTCAGGATATAAATACAAAGACAGGAGCCATTTAAGTATCACTGTCTTGATTCCTTGGGATGTGATATTATAGATTCTTGGTTATATACTGCTAACTTTTGAGGAGCATCCTTGTTTCTCTTCATGTAGTATTTCTCAAAATTGAGCATGCATCAAAATCACCTGCAAGGTTTGTTTAAAACCAGACTGTTGGGACCTCCACTCCACAGTTGGTGATTCAGTAAGTCTGGGTCAAGGCCAGAGAATTTGCATTTCTAATTAGTTCTCAAGCGATGCCGGTCTTGTGGGTTTGGAGACCACACTGTGCAGACCACAGTCTTCACAGGTCACCTGCATCAAAATTCCTAGAGACACTATTAGAAATGCATCCACTCGGGCTTCTCCCACCCCTGGTTCTACCACATCTGAATTTCTAGGGTGGCATACGAAAATCTGTGTTTTTAACAGTCTTTCTCAATGGTTCTTCTGTACACTCAAGTTTGAAAACCACTGGTCTAAGGTCCTAGGAACTAAATCTTTTCCAGCTGTGTTCATGTCAAGACTGCTTAATACCTGCCCACTTAATAAGGTCAGGTAATAAACATCTTCCAAGAAAGCAGAATGACTAGTTCGCCGGCAACATAGCCAGCTGTCTTCTCTTCCATGTGAAACAGAAGCTGTGCATGACTTGATTGTGAAGCCACACTGTTGATTTTACAGCATACAGGCTTGGAATGTGGCGCATTAGAGTAGAGAATGTGATTAACAATTACTGCTATATAGCTCTATCTTAAGAGCTCTCTAAGGCTGCTGGCACATTTTCCTTCTTTGTGATTGCAATGTTGAGCCCATGAATTAACTCTGAATCTTATTAAATCATCTCTTTCTGCATTTTTAAGAAAACCAACAGAAAAGAATGAAATATTATCTATGATTAGAGATAGTAATATGTTTCTTTAAAAAAAAATACAAACAACTTGTTAAACAGCCAGAAATCTCTTTTCTGTTTTGCTACTTTAGTCACAGGAAGTTTTGGGGAACAGTGAACATAGTTAGGGGAGAGAGGCAGTAGAACCTTATGAAATCAGTTTTTATTGAGATCTGCCTGGTTTTCTACCTTGTGCCCATGTGAGAAAATAGCGTAACAAGGCACTTCAGTACCTGCCCTCCTTTGGATACATCTCTTTGCCTGCAGAAATTTTATGCCCTGGTGCCTTGTTAAAAAAGGGCAGTTACTTAAGTAAGGGGACAACCTCATTATAAAGAACTTCAGTTTAAAAATATTCCCAAGGTGTTGACCCTCAGGGCCAGAGCCACAGTGAGGCTCCTGTGGTATGAACAGGGCACTTGACTTGGAGTTTCCTATTAGTCTTAGGGGTACCCTTGGCCCCCCATGAGACACAGCCACAATTTCCAAGTACTTTCAGGCATGCACATGGCCACCAGCACTCCATTCCTCCACTCTTCCCCTCCCCACAGTGTTATTTTTCAAAAGATGATAAAAGCACACTGTCCCCAACTCAAGACTAATCAGTCAGTTTCTGCCTCAACCAATAGCCTTCTCTTCAGCCCGATGCCTGGTGGTTCTCCCTCTGGCCAAAGTGCTAGTGGAGAGACAGGCAAAAAGAATAGAAATATGCACCTCAGTTTCCTGACTACCTTGCACCTTCTATAAGATGTCATTGGAATTTGATTTGTTTAGCTCAATCAACCAGATGGAGACTGGTTCACAGACTGGATTGTTAAAAAAATAAGTAAAATTTGTTAAATAAAGTAAGGTGCATGCATTATTGGTATGGTTCGTGGAAACTTTGCTTCTATTCCTTAGTTGACTATGCATAGTAAATTTAGCTGGAAGATCTAGAGTCTAAAAGTTGGGACAGCCCTAATTGGGACTTCTACCAATTCATTTCCCTGAGTATCTAAGAGCTTAATCTAGAAAACCTGGGAGTAGTGCTTCTCATCCAGGGGTGAATTTTGCCCTGTGGGGGGCATTCAATAATGTCTGGATATATTTTTTGTTGGACTACTTTTATCTAGTGGGTAGAGGCCAGGGCCGCTGTTAAACATCTTCCCATGCACAGGACAGCCCCTTTAATAAAGAATTATCAGCCCAGAGTCAGTAGTGCAAAGGTTGAGAAACTGCTTCATAGTAATCTCTCTGGTTGTACAGTTTTCCAGACCTGATGGTGACTGAAGTGTACCTGAAGGTCCTGGGGAACAGGAAGGGGCAGTTGGTTCTGAAAGGTGCAACAAAGAAAGATTACAACCCTTGACTTCTTCCCCAGAATATGCCTCCAAAGACGATCACAGGGACTTTGCAGGAGAACTGGAGGTTCTTTGTAAACTTGGACACCATCCAAACATCATCAATCTCTTGGGAGCATGTGAACATCGAGGTAAGATACTCTTTTCCTCTCGTTCCTGCTGGATTTTTTTAAAAGTCATATTCCATATTGAAATTAGGAAAGATAATGATCTTAAGAATGTTACCTTTTTTAAAAAAAAAAGTTGCTTCAATCTGAATGTCTGTCTAGTCCCATCTATAGATCGTGCTGAGGTTTGCCATCATTTTGGAGGTAGGTGCTAAGGCTGGATCATTATCCTCTGATGTGGTTCAGCCATTACTGCCTGAAGGTATCCATGGCTCCCACCTGCCCTATCTTTGCTAATCCAGGGATTTTCTCACTACTACTGCTACTAGAGTGGAGTAGGGGAGACCTCACCACCAGTGAGGGGTGTGGGGTGCATTGGTTCTTCTTAATTGCCTGCCTTTACCTTTTTCCTGGAAACCCCGGGAACTGATATTCTGAATGTTAAAGCCATGGATGCCAATAATCTACCGTAATATGAAAGCAGTGATGATGCTTAGATTAAAAAATAATTAGACAGTGCTTACTTTGGGTTTTTTGTTTTGTTTTCAAGAGATAGGGTCTTGCTGTGTTGCCCAGGTGATCATCGCTCACTGCAGCCTCAAACTCTCCTGGGCTCAAGTGACCCTCCTGCCTCAGCCTCCCAAAGTGCTTTGTTTTTCTCCAGAGTGCTTTCATGTATAATTACAATGGAGCTTTTCAACTATCCTATGTCACATATGCTTTTCAAGTTAAACTTATATTATTAATTCACATATTTATTGAGCACTTCCTATTGTAATGTGTGTAATTAGCTGTGAATGAGTAGGCAACAACAAAATCTTTGTGTGGAATTCCCCTGAAATCAAAAAAGAAAAAAAAAAGAACAAAACTCATCTAAGAGTTTACCTCAGCATGCCATATGGGCTTGTAGTTCTGATTCTCTGCTTAAACTTAATTTCTCATGGAAAAGTTTGCTCCCACCAAAAGCTCCACGCAGTAATTATTTACAAACTTGACAACCTCTTGTTGACTCTGCAGCACAAACACCAACAATAGAAAAGAGACTACTTCCATTTCCTCAATTTATTAAACTAAAAATATTGGTGCTTCAAACAACATATCATTCTATGATCTGATAAGGGTGTAATTCTGAAAGCCAGATCATGTCCCTTAGGTTAAATAATGAAGTAATGACATTTATTTTTTTTGAGCTATTTCCTGAAAACAGCAATCAGCTTGGGACAGCAATATAAATGAAAGTTAAAAAAAAAAAAAAAAAAACCAAAAAAAAACTGCTTTCCGTGCTGATAACACTCCTGCAAGCACGTTGAGCATTCCTAAAACCCACCAGACTTTCTGGAAGATATGCGGCAAGCACCAACCCCACAGTGACACAAGAGAAGTAATTTGCAAAGATTCTCTGTATGCCCAGGGAAAGTGACAGTATGACAGGAAGCAGAGTGGCTATGGTGGGTAAACTAAGCCAATTTTCCGGAAAAAGGCTAAAACTACGAAAGAAGATTGTGCGGAGGCTCGAGTGCATTAGGCCTGACTGCGGATCTAAGAGAAAGCTGGCTGTTAAAGACACAAGCACTGGGGACTGGGAGGCGATGAGAAGAGAAGGGGCCCAGTGATCCATTCCAAGCTTCATCTTTTGTTGTGAAGACAATAAAATCTTGAGGTTATTCACTTCATTTGGTTGCAGTTGGTCTTTTGGGAGGGAATAAGCTAGAGCCATCAAAAAATTCCCATTGGGGGAAGAATAACCCCCGTAACAATAGAAAAATATGTATCTTAAAATTTTGCTCTGTCATCACATTAGCACATGCTTGGTTGGCTCTTAAACTATTTAATTCAGTAAATATGTGAGAAAGCACATTTGTAGTTCTATGTAGGTCTAGAATGTAGGTCTATCTTTCCTTATAGGGCAACAGGATTCAATGCTAGAAGATTTCTTTTTTTTGCTGGAATTTAAATTTCTTAGAATATCTTTGGAGTTGTGATGCATTACCAAAATTCTTCTTTAAAAAACAGTAAAAATCACTTTACTCTTCACTAACTCTAAAGATCAATGTTTTTTAGCAAGGCAAATTACTTTTTATAAAAAAAAGAAAAAATTGATTTGGAATAAAAATAAGACAATGAATCATAAGTTTTCCAGGAGCTATTGTATTACCTTTTCCTAAAATTTTCAGTTTTCTGGTTTCTTTAAGCAAATTGCAATCTCTGAAACTGGACTCTGCTAACCAGTGACTTAATCAACAATATGATGACTCAGTATGGGTTTCAGAAAGGAGTACAAGGCAGGAGAGAAAGTTACGTGTTGTGGGTCCTCCCGCCATGCATATTTAATCAATCAAGAAAAGTAACTTAGGAAAATCTAGAGACAGACATGCCTGCCCTAGATTAGGTTCTTGATTAATACCGAATAAAAAATAAAAGGTGATGTGAAAAAGTGTCTGAGATCTAGAGGAGAATGCTTTGCTTTCGTTCTGCTATTAGTTGGTGAAAGCGTTTCAGGAAGCCCTCTGCCTCTGCGTTAGTCCCCGTTTGCTAGGAATGGAGAGGGGACGGGAAAGAGGGGGACCCTGATTCCAGCTCAGCCCCCTTGAGTATAGCAGGAAGTGGTCATGTACCTTCCTCCTGTCCCCCGCGTGCTACCACTAGATGTGTTTCTTTTAGATACAATGGAGTTTATAGGCAATTCTCAAGGAGCACAGCACATCTTTAAAATCTCATAGCTGTCTGGAGTCACTGATCAGAAGATGGTCTCTTCTTTCCCCGCAGGCTACCTGTACCTAGCCATCGAGTATGCCCCCCACGGAAACCTCCTGGACTTTTTGCGCAAAAGCCGCGTGCTGGAGACCGACCCCGCATTCGCCATCGCCAACAGCACCGCCTCCACGCTGTCCTCCCAGCAGCTCCTCCACTTCGCTGCAGATGTGGCCCGGGGCATGGACTACTTGAGCCAGAAACAGGTGTGCTCTGAGGATCTTGCTCTGTACATCTCTCTTATGGGGTTCTCTCTCTCAAGTCAGGGTTTCGATACGTTTTCATGGTTGTCAAGCTCTAGTCTTTAATTCCTTCTTACAATCTTTCTCATTTTAATCTTTGTTAATATTCCATCTATTTATATAGAAATTATGGCCTAATACCGACATACTTATCTAGCAAATTTTGTAATACGTATTTGGTGAGATGCCTTAAGCTTAGTTTCGTTTGCTTCCAAATAATGCACAATAGCAGAGGCATTATATTGCAACCAGAAGATTTAATGACCTGTGGTTTTTTTTCTTTCCCCCCTGAAATGCTTCTCCCAAGAGGTGGTGGGGTCATTCGGCAGAACCCATCAACTGAGATGAACTTTAAGGAAACTGGATTCTGTTACTTAAAACCCCTTTTCTGGCTAGGCGCGGTGGCTCACACCTGTAATCCTAGCACTCTGGGAGGCCAAGGCAGGAGGATCACTTGAGGTCAGGAGTTCAAGACCAGCCTGAGCAAAAGCAAGACCCCATCTCTACTAAAAGTAGAAAAAATTAGCTGGTCGTGGTGGCGAGTGCCTGTAGTCTCAGCTACTCGGGAGGCTGAGGCAGGAGGATCACTTGAGCCCAGGAGTTTGAGGTTGCTGTGAGCTAGGCTGATGCCATGGCAGTCTAGGCAAGGTGACAGAGGTGAGACTGTGTCTCAAAAACTAAAAAATCCTTTTCCTAATATTGTTTCTTCTCTATTATCCAAAGCTTTTGCCCCTGGGGTTTTGTGCTAACAAAATGAAGTGAAAAAGCAAGGATCATGCTGAAAAATACATGATTTTTTTAAAAATTTCAGTTTATCCACAGGGATCTGGCTGCCAGGAACATTTTAGTTGGTGAAAACTATGTAGCCAAAATAGCAGATTTTGGACTGTCCCGAGGTCAAGAAGTATACGTGAAAAAGACAATGGTAAGTTCAGAACCATGAACACTGGTAACAACCTTTCAAAGGTATTCCTCCCTCTCCAGGTGTCGCTTCTCTTAGAACATCATTGCTCTGTGGTGATTAAGGCAACTGACTGTGTATCCCAGTAGATGTTGCCTGGCCCAGTAAGGACTCTTTCTAAATGTTGGTTCCTAAAATGATTGGAGGGTTCATATTATCAGTAAAGAAGACATCGTCACATGTGGCCAAGTAATTGAACATTTGAACACAGCAGTGCAGGGTCTCCGGTCTGTATCCAGTTCTGACCCCTGGGTGTCTCACTCCGAAACGTCTGAGGAGCTCTCACAGTCCCCGTTCATGCACAGCAGATGTAGCAAGGGGGAAAAAAAGACATTAACACATTGACTGCCACACCAGAAAAAAAATTTTTTCCTTGAGGCCACAGTGTTGTATTAAAACAAAACGATCCTTTTTAATTTGTTATTTTTTTATTGTTTTCTGTGCATGAGATATACGCAATGCAATCCACATTTTTAGGATTAAATCGTCAATATTAATTATAACAATAAGAATATCACCAAGTAAGATTTTCACAAACCAACTGCAGAGTTTTGCCTCATGTGGCTCAAAACTAGCCTGAGTTAAATACAACTCATATGGCAGCCAATGTGTTAATATACTTTCCAAAAATCAAGGAAATAAATTCATGGGTTCCTAAATTACAAGGGGGCTCTGCAGACAAATTCATGACTTCTGTGGCCCACATAAGATTTCCCTCTTCACTAAAAGTTCAATGTTTACTTTTCAAGCCCAAATCAGATCTACTTTCACCCAATGATACCCACTCCCCCAAATGGTACTAAATATTTTATCTTTAAATTCAAGGATCACAGGAGAACCTAATCATACAGTCTTAGAGGAAAAGAGATACAGAACTCATTCTGCTTTTGGTACCCACTCTGGAATTGTAAAGTCCTGGAAATGTCACATCCCTGGACATTAGTGCTGTGCCGACAACATGCCACCACCCCGTGTTCCTTGGGTGAGCACAGTGTAGGGCCTTGGGGTGACAAACCCTATAGTCTTTATGTGTGCCAGGTGCTGCTCTGGCGGGATAGCTCTCCCTGTGTTGGGTCTGATGACCATCACTTGGACTCCGCTGTCTTGGGACTGCTCCAGTTGTCAGATAGAAGGTGCTTTTGCTTTTGTGGGTGCTCCAAATTGCTTCTCAGCAAGGCTTAGGTTCCTGCATTTATTCTCAAAACCAGGCTTCCTTTGGGGCCCTACAGTGGCCTGAGGGGTACTCAGACTGTGAGCTCCCTGCCCGCCAGCCCGCCCAGGTGCTGCTAGCCTGGTGACTCCAGGAGAACAGGGCAAATCCTGAGGGGGAGTGACAAGATAAAACAGAAACAATACTCAAGAACATTTTGAAAAGGAAATCACCCATAATTCACCACCTTGGCACGTTTATTTTTTTTCATTTTTGGCTCATTGGCTTCCACAGCACATATTTTTTACATAGTTACAATCACAGTGAACAATAACCATTTCGGATCTTTCCACTCTTTTTTGGTGAGGGTTTCAAGTGGGGCCCGTTGGCGTTCAGACAGCCCCACACACCCTCGATGTTTACCAGTATCAACTTTCGGGAGCCGCACGTACCTCCCTGATGGCCAGCCTCCGGCAGGGCTTGTTTCCCTAAGGCTGTCAGGTGCTGGCCCACTCCGGGCAGACGTTCGTCTGGGGCGGGGCTGGGCTTGTCCTCTCAGAGAAGCAGAGTCCATCACTCACCAGCTGCTCCAGCTCTGCCGGCCTCTCCCTGGCCATCCACATCCTCATTTCTCCTTCACAGAATCTGTTTTTTTGCTCCACTCCAGCATTTGTGGGATACGATACCCCAGACGAGGAGGAGGAGGGGTTAACACAGGTTAGCCCACGACCTACCCATTTTATGTGGGTGCTCTCCTCAGATCCCCAAGGCTGATGCTGGTTTGCTTGGCGTTTATAAAGAGCAGGGATTTCTGCAGTACTGGGAGTTGAGGAGGGATACTTACAGGGGCAGAGAACTGATGGGCTCAACTCTCACAATAGAGTAAATAGGGTAAAGTGTTCATTAGCCGCATGGGGCTGGCGGGGAAGAGGAAGAGAGGAGAAGGGTTTGGAGAGGAGCAAGCTCCCTGCAGGAAGGGTGCAGTGCAGCAAGGCACCACTAGAGGGCAGAGTGGCCACTTTTCTCTAGCAGCCAATGTTTTAAATCAGAGGTTTTCAACTTGTACCTCAGAGTCATCTGGGGAGCTTTACAGAATGGAATGCTGAGTCCTGCCTAGATTCAGTTAGTCTAGGGTGGGGTTCCTGCATTAGATTTTTTTCTTTTTCTTTTTTCTTTTTTTATTTCAGCATGTTATGGGGGTACATATGATTAGGTTACTGCATTAGATTTGTATTTTAAGTCCCCCGAGTGATTCTAATAAGGAAGTGTTGCTGCGAACTAACGTACTAAATGAGTTGGGGTTTTACTATCATCGATTAATATATCCATTCCCTCACCATCCATGTATTGATTACCACAATGTTTCATGCTCGTGCTAGGTTTTGGGGTAATTTAAGTCAGACACAGCCTACACCTTCAAAGAGCTCACAGACAGACACATAATGATCAACTATGACAGCTGGTAAGCACGAAGGGCAAGGAAAGCACAGGTATCATGGGAGCACAGAGAAGGTGCACTGAACCAAACCAAGAGGGCAGTCATGGAGGGCCTCCTGGAGGAGGTCAACTCCTGAGCTCACAGTAAATGTTAGATAGATACTGGAGGTGTGAATATGAGTTGGATGGAATGCATGGAACCTTTGGAGAATCTTTAAGTCAGTCAGTATGGCTGGAGTGTAATGCAGAGAGGAGGGAGTTAAAATTCAAGGTTTGAGGAAGAAGCAGGGATAAAGTCTTGAGGGGCCTTGAATTCCAGCTAAGGCTTTTGGGACTCAGCTAAGGATTTGAGATCTTGGGACAACAGGGACATTAAAGAATTTTAAGGAAAGGAATTATGTGGTCAGATTTGCCATTTTGAGTGATTTTGCCCTGACTGTAGTGAGAACAGCCCCTTAGGAGTGAGATCAGTTAGAGATCAGGACAGAGGCTGTTGTCATCAGGCAGGGGCCTGAACCCAGGTGATGCAGTAGGGACAGATGGAAGTGGAAAGACCCAAAAGAAGTCAAATGAGAAAAACACGAAAAAGTACACGCTGAACTTTGTAATCAGGAGGTGTGAGGTTAGAAGCCAGCAGGTTGGGAGTGAATGAGAGCAAAATGAAAACAGATGATGTTTTCTCTTCCTTCCCCGTGAAGGCGAGGAGGGAGCTCGAGTGACGGGTGGGAGAGGGGGTGAATGTGGAGGAAAACATTGAAGATGTGGATGTGAGAAAATATACTTTTATACTTGAACCTAAAACTACAGAATTACCATTCAGGATTTTATGGTCAGAAATTTATGCTTCAGAATATTGCCACTGTACAACAAACCGGGAGAGAACTGCACATTCAAGAACTCTCCTTGGGATCTGGGGCAAGGCTGGTCGTGTGGGCGGATGGCCTGCTCTGGGGCACTGAGACAGGTCCCCCAAGTGCTCCTGGTGCTGCCCCACCCACTGGCTAGTGTAGGCTGAAATGCCACTGTTAACGTCTGGACAAATCTCCAGGAGGGAGGGCTCAATCTCTCAGGGACAAACCATATGATCCTTGGGGCGGGAAGTTAAAAAGGGAGCCCCAAACTGTAGAGAATTTGGGGAAAGTAGATATAAAACTCCCAAGTCAATCTTCGCAATGTCCACTCACATCTCATTTTGCCCAGCCTGGACTCCATAAGCCGAGAGGAGGGCAGCCTGGAGGGAATCAGGGCCAGGAGCCCTAAGGGTGAGCATGAGTCTCTTGTCCTATCTCCAAACCCAACGTGAACCGCACTGGCTGTGAGTTACGCAACCTCTGCTGATATGTCTGCACACTGCTCCCTTTGACCTGAACTCTCTCTCCTCCTCCATCCACCGGATGAGGTCGGCACATCTTACAGAACTGAGCTGGCACATCCCCTCCTCTGGAAAATCCATTACCTCCAGCCACAGTTGGCCTCTCCATCACCCTTTCCCACATGACAATTACATTCTCAGTTTCTGTGCCTGTCTCCCCTTTCAAACCCCTGGGCGCCCCTGAGAGCCATGAGGTGAGTAACCCCAATGTGCGTGCGCACACATATTCCAATTCATATAAAACGGCTGGACCCCTTGAGGTGAGTAGGACTTACACTGTTTGCACGTCTTTAAATGTGAAAACACACTTGTAGCTGGGACATACACAAAGCAATGATTCCTGAGTCCGTCCTACCTTCTGTCTGCGGAATTCCAAATAGGGTTCCCTGGGGCCTTTGAGAGAGCCATACTGCAGGCACACTGGCAGCCCACGAAGCGTCCCTGCCCTAAGTGGCTTCTTACTTTGTTCTCTCCAGGGAAGGCTCCCAGTGCGCTGGATGGCGATCGAGTCACTCAATTACAGCGTGTATACAACCAACAGTGATGTGTGAGTAAGCTGCTTATTGCCGAGGCATTTTTCTCCCCCAGAAAAATTATATATCCAACAGAAGTTTTTAAAAAACAAGAATAAGCTGTACCTCTGTGGAATAAAGCTAACCAGTAAGTCCAGGAAACAAATTCATAGAGTAAATGAAGCCACAGAATAGACAGCTTCCAGAGGGTAAAAGCACCGGTGGCAGCTTTTGAGTTTCCCTCTGCGTGTGGAGGAGAGGCTTCACGTTGAGAATTCTTGACCTCAGGAGGAAGAAGGGGCACGCTGGCCTTCCCGTGGCTCCTCTCCAGACCTAGATCAGAGGAAGCAGCCCAGAATAGCTGCCGGGGGCCGGAGGTGGTGGGGACAAAAGTAAGACCAGACGGTGGGGCCATCTCTGCATGCAACCTGCAGTGATAAATCACAGGCAGGTGGTGGAAGGAAGGGTCTGAGAGGCTATCTTGCCTTGTACCCTATTTTCAGGAGGAAAAACCGAGGCCCAGTGGGTAGTGGTGATTTGTCCAAGGGGTTTTGCTTATGCCTGGGGGTGAGGAGGGTGCTAGCAGTTGCTGTGTCCTCACTGCAGGGTGCCCTTTAGATATTACTCTGAATAACTTTTGAGGCAGGAATGGGTGTCCCCACTTTTGGAAGAATACGCTATGCTATGGTTCTAAATGGTTCAGTGACTTCTCCCAGGTCACGCGGTATTATGTGGTAGCGATAGGATTTAACTCAGATCTGTTTGGATTCGAATTTCACTGGTTTTCCACAGTACCACCTTGCTCTCTCAACTCCAGTGATTTGGGGGCTCTGGCAAAGTGAACACTGTTTGTTGTAACCCTCACATTTGGCTAAGAGGAGAGGAACCCACGCTGTGAGCAAGGCCTTATTCTAGTAACATTTCCTTCTCTCAGAAAGGATGGTCACCCTGGCTTTTTGAGCAAAAAAATTGAGTGGTTTGCTGATTATTGCTTTCACATTTGTCCCTCCTGCAGGTGGTCCTACGGTGTGTTACTATGGGAGATTGTCAGCTTGGGTGAGTATGTTTATCTACCAGGTGAGACTCTAGGCAAAGGGAGTGGGACCCTCCACTACTCCTGCATAGCATAAGTCCATGGGACACCCTTCGTATGTGGTGCTACCGATGTGACTTTAGAACAGAAACAGGTCTCCACATGTGAGTATTTATTTCCACATTTTTCTTTTTGAAATTCCTATACCTAATGTCGTATTTAATAATAATGACCTATTGGCCAAGAACTTCATTATAGGCTAATTGTCTCTGCTTGTACAAAGATGTCATAGAGCTGCAACAGGTTTACTTCTATAACTTTTAATGGTTACATAATGGTCTCTTTTAAAGTCACATTTATGAAGGCTATTTTTTAAGGCATGTGGGAAAAAAGATAACAATTTCACATACTCTATAACCCCAGTTTTATACATATATTGTAAAAATTGGAAGGCACTACACAGAAAGGTAATAGAATCTATTGAGTTTTTTCATCATGCATTTTTTGTATTCAAGGTTTTCTAATAATAAACATGTATTGTTTTATTGGTAACTTGTCAATAAAGTAGGAATTGCATAACATAATTAGACTTCCAATTAGAAAAAAGGTAAATGCATTGGTATAAGAAACATGCGGTGTGTAGGCAGACCTAGGAAAGAGTGATAGCTCTGTAAGTGAAGAAGCCTGCAGCAGACCTTTTCACTGAAGGAATAATGATCTCACTTTAGTGTGGTCTTTAATGTAAATCCAGCTTTGCTGTGTAGTGGGTTTGCAAGGGGAGGCATGCTGGGTGCTCACGCTCCCTTGACATGCCCTGATTCCTCCTGGCCTCTTGACTTTAGAGCCCCTGGGCAGGAGGCATTGCCTTGGGTGCCACAGAGAACTGAGAGTGGCTCTGTTTCCCGTCTTCCAGGAGGCACCCCCTACTGTGGCATGACCTGTGCAGAGCTCTATGAGAAGCTTCCCCAGGGTTACAGACTGGAGAAGCCCCTGAACTGTGATGACGAAGTGTAAGTCAAGCCTTACCCTGGGGTAATTTTATCTTATCCTTCTCCCTATGTGATTCTTGGACAGGCTGACTCTAAGAAGTCACCTGATACATACATAACACGTGCACACACAGATCCCAAATAGTTGAAAAAATGCGGGTGGTCCCTAATGCTAAGACTGTTATGTAATGGGCAAGGAGGAGAAAGCTAGGAGGGGCAAGAAGAAGCCCATGCATGCTGCTCTCAAGGAGAGGATCCAAAGTTGCAGGTGGATGCCTACTACAGATGGTTCCTCTTGGAAAGAGCAGTGTAAAACCCCAGAGAAGTGACAGGGGACACTCCGAGTGAAGATGATGGGGTGATTCTTTCAACAAGATCAGAAGGTACCTGGGGGAGGTATCTATAGGTAGGGAAGGACAAGAGGAGAGAACCCTGTGTCCTGAGCTGTGAGGGGACCCCTAGTGCCAGCACAGACCTCTGGTTTGATCAAGGAGATGCTTGGATTCTGTGCATCTAGTGGCTACTGATCCCAGGTTTTTACAACTGATGCCATTCTGAGCTTGCGGGTACAGGGCTCAAGGACTGCACAGGGATCACTGGCAAGGAGGATGCAGAGTGGATGCTTTTCCGTGCTGTGCCCTGTGACTGGGAGATTTGAACAGAACAGGCGTCTCAGATGCCATAGATACTACCTCAGAAGCCCTGTGGCAACTGCCTCCATGGGACCTGTGCCGGGGGAGAACCCTAGCCCACAGCTCCACATTCTGCTGCCGTCCACTCCTGCTCTACCTCCAGACCACAGGTCTGGCTCCAGTGCTATTCCTGCTCCACTTCTGAGGCTTCAGCATTTCTGTCAGGTCCCCAGGCTCCACCACAGGTTCTGGGAGTGCAGCTGTACCCAGGAGGCTCCAGCACTGCCCCCTGGGCCTGCCCTACAGTCTAATGCTCTGCCAGGGACTTTCCAGCCTCAAGCTGCCATTGCATCTGAATCCAGTCCAAGCAAATACCCACAGCACAAACACTCAAAACCACTGCCTAGATATATTCGCCCAACTTACACTGTCACCCCTGTGGGGAGACCCTGGGCAGTGCAATCCCCTGCAATGCCAGCCTCCATAGCTAGGGTCTCAGCCAGTGCCCCATTCGAGCTTCCAACAATGGTCTGGGGAACAGCCAACCATTCTGCACAAAGATCATCCAGCATAAACTGTGATAATCACAGGGGAATGGGACAAAATAGAATAACTGCATTTGAGGCTCTCAGTGCACCCACCCCTCACTCTTCTGGAGCAGGATACAAAAGCGCCATCTAGCGACCTCCCCTCCTTCTCACTAAGTAGGAGAGTTCCCAGCAAAGGAGAACAGGTGCCCTGCAAACCTATCAGCCCTGAGCTGAGAGAAGAAGATTCATATGAAAAGAAACCAGCAAATGAACTTGGCAACATGAAAAAACCAAACAGTCTGATACCCTCAAGGGATCACAGTCGATCTATAGCAGTGGACCGCAACCAAAAAGAAACTGTCAAAATCAAAAATGGAATTCAGAATATGGATGGCAAATAAGATAATGGAATTGAAAAGAAAGTTGAAAACCAATACAAGCACCAAAAAATTTCAGGAGATCAATGAAAAACAAAAGTTGCTAAAGAGCTAGACACCGTAAGAAAGGATATAATAGAACTTAAAGAGATGAGTCAGGGAATTTCAAAATACAGCATAAAGCTTCAACAACAGGCTAAACTAAGCAGAAGAAAGAATCTTAGAGCTTGATGACACGACTCGAGCTAGCTAATACAGTCATTCAAAGATGCAGAAAAGAGAATAAAGAGGACTGAACAATCACTCAGAAATATGGGACTATGTGAAGCAAACTAATATATGAATTATAGGTATCTCTGAGGGAGAAGAAGAAAGAGCAAAAATCATGGGATATCTATTTGAGAGAATTATTGCAGAAAATTTCCCTGGTATTGCCAGAGATTCAGATATTGAGATATAAGATGGTCATTGAACACTGGGAACATTCATTGCAAACAGGATCTCTCCAAGACACATAGTCATGAACTTGGCCAAAGTCAAAATGAAGGAGAAAATTCTACAAGCAGCAAGACAAAAGTAACAACTAACCAACAAAGGAAAATCCATCAGGCAAACAGAAGCCTTCTCCGCAGTGACCTTACAAGCCAGAAGGGATGAGGGCCCCATCTTCAGTCTTCTAACAGAATTGCCAATATTGTATGCTGCAAAATTAAGTTTCATAAATGATGGAGAAATTAAGACTTTTCCAGACAAGCAAATACTAAGGGAATTTGTCACTATTAGACCTGCCCAACCAGAAATACTCAGACTTGCATTATACATGGATTAGCACTATAGATACTCCTCAGTGTAAAATTACCCAAAACTTAAAGCTCACAGCTCTTAAAAAACCATAGCACAAGAGGGAAAACAAAACAATAAGATATTATGCAACATGATGAACCATATCAATACCAACACTCAAGGTGAATGGTCTGTATGCCCCACTTAAAAGACATAGTCCAGCTGAATGGATGAAAAAACACAACCCAAATATCTGCTATCTCCAAGAAACACATCTAACCTACAAAGACTGATATAGATTCAAGGTGAAGGGATGGAAAAAAATATTCCTTACAAACAGAGCCAAACGAAAGGAATAGCCACTCTCATATCAGACAAAATAGACTTTAAATCAATAATGGTAAGGAGAGCAATTCAACAAAAAGACACATATTAATAACAATCCTAAGTACATATGCACCTAACACAGGAGCTCCCAGATTCATAAAGCAAATCCTACTTGATCTAAGCAACGAGATAAAAAGTAGCATTGTAATTGCCGGGGACTTCAACACTCCACTGACAGAGCTGGACAGAAGATCAAAGCAGAAAATCAATAAAGAAACACTGGACTTAAATGAAACTCTGGAACAAATGGACCTAACAGACATTTACAGAACATTCTACCCTAAAACTACTGAATACACATTATTTTTTCATCAGCACATGGGGTATTCTTCAAGACTGATCACATATTAGGCCACAAAACACGTCTCATCAAATTAAAAAATCAAAATCATATCATGTATCTTCTCAGACCACAGTGGAATAAAACTAGAAATCAATTCTAAGAGAAACACCCAAATCAACACAAAGTCATGAAAATTAAAGAACCTACTGCTGAACAACAAAAGGGACACAAGCTATCAAAATCTATGGAATACCACAAAAGCAGACCTAAGGGGAAAATTCATGCCTTAAATGCCTACATCAAAAAGACAGAAAGATCTTAAATTAACAATCTAATGTCACACCTCAAGGGACTCGAAAAGGAAGAGCAATCCAAACCCAAAGCCAGCAGAAGAAATGAAATAACAAAGCTCAGAACAGAACTAAATGAAATGGAAATTAAAAAAATATTAAGGATCAACAGAAGAAAAAATTGGTTCCCTGAAAAGATAAGAATCAACAGACTTCTAGCTAGATTAACCAGAAATAGAACATAAAGGACCCAAATAAGCTCAATCAGAAATGAAAAAGATATTACAAGTCATACCACAGAAATACAAAGTATTATCTGTGAATACTATAAAAATCGCTATGTACATAAATTAGAAAATGTAGAGGAAATAGATAAATTCCTGAAAACAGACAACCACCATCAGGAAGAAATAGAAATCCTGGACAGATAATAATGAGCAGCAAGATTGAAGCAGTAATAAAAAAAATCTCCAAACAAAAAAGGCCCTAGACTAGATGGATTCAGAACCAATTCTACCAGACCTACAAAGAAGAACTGGTACCTATCCTACAGAAATTATTCCATAACATCAAGAAGGAGGAACTCTTCCCTAACTCATTATATGAAGCCAGTATCACCTTGATACCCAAACCAGGAAAGGACGCAGAAAAAAAGAAAACTGCAGACCAATATCCCTTATGAATGTAGACGTAAAAATCATCAACAAAATACTAAGAAACCAAATTCAACAGCACATAAAAATTCACCATGATCAAATGGGCTTCATCCTAGGGATGCAAGGATGGTTCAATGTATGCAAATCGATTAACATGATTCACCATAGAAGCAAAAACAAAGACGATATGATCATCTCAATAGATGCAAAGGAAAAGAATTCATTTTATCAAAAACATACCAGCACTCGAATATTTATTGCAGCTCAATTCACAATTGAAAATATGTGGAATCAACCTAAGTGCCCATCAACTCATGAGTAGATTAACAAAATGTGGTATATATATACCAGTTCTACTAGCCACAAAAACAACAGAGTGCTACATAGCCATGAAAAGGAACAAAATAATGTCTGTTGCAGCAACTTGATGGAACTGGAGACTATTATCCTAAGTGAAGTGTCTCAGGGATGGAAAAATAAATACCACATGTACTCATAATCAATCGGCACACATGGGCACAGAGAGATGTAAAGGTCATTGGCAATCAAGAAGGGGGAGGAAGGGAGGGGTAAAAACCTATCCGTTGGCTACAGTGAACGCTATTTGAATGATGGGCACACTGAAAACTCTGACTTAAACATTATAAAAGGTATCCATGTAACAAAAGCATTTGTACTTCCTTAACATTTTGAAATAAAAAAAAATCTAGGAGTAATTTAAAGTAATGGCTCTTGGGAACATTGAAATGAGGAAGGGCAATGAATGCAGAAAAGATCTGAACTAAATTCATGAAATTGTTCATAAATAAATGTAAGAAACTTTGAGACTAACTTTGGGGATAGAGATTTAATATTGTTCATTAAGGAAGGTGGATTTTTCTCTATGGAATCTTGCTTCTGCTAAGATTATTTTTCAAGAGTAAGAATTATTTCAAGGGGAACAATGATTAACTGTAGTGATGCCACCATTCCCAGAACTAGCAGAGGTGGAAGCTGCCTAACTGGCATTATTTGGAGAGTGCAAGGCTCTAGGTTAAACAAAGAATTTATTGTTCAAATGGGGCCACTTCTAAGAGTGAAAGAGGGTACTATTAATAATGGTGTCTTAGTCATTTCAGGCTATGACAAAATATCATAAACTGGATAGCTTATAAACAATAGAAAATACTTCTCACAGTTCTGAAGGCTGAGAAGTCCAAGATTGAAGCATTGGTAGATTTGGTGGCTGGTGTCTACGAACCGTTTCCTGGTTCACAGATGGCCATATTTTTGCTGTGTCCTCACTTGGCAGAAGTGACAAAGGAATTCCCTGGGGCCTCTTCTGTAAGGGCATTAATCCTATTCATGAAGACAGACACTCCCGAATCACCTCCCAAAGGGCCCACTTCCAAATACCATCACACTGGGGGTTAGGCTTCCACACATGAATTTTGGGTGGCACAAACATTCAGTTTACAGCAACCAGTTAAACGGGCTTTTTTGTTTTTAATGATGTAACTTCTATGAGTCCGTCTAAGAGGGAGATGCAATAGGTGGCATCCTATAAATTGATTTGAGCATGAAGCTTTTCTTTAATGAGACGCTAACATTTTAAGAGATGCGGTATTCCAAGGGAAATGCTGCCCTAGACACATAATCCAGTTCTTTCTGGATGATCAGAATAGCAGAGATCAAGAACAAGCAGGAGCAGGCCCCAGGGTGGGCACTAAGTACAGAAATGGGACTTGAACAGAAACTTCCTAGGTGCTGTACTTTTGTCTTCTGCTGTTTGCGCTTCGGACTATGCACTGAGTGGCTACATTCTCTTTTTTCCTGCCCTGCACTGGGCCATGCTCAGCATGATGCACAGTCATAGAGTTAACCCTTTAATTCTTTGTTTTTGAAGGTATGATCTAATGAGACAATGCTGGCGGGAGAAGCCTTATGAGAGGCCATCATTTGCCCAGATATTGGTGTCCTTAAACAGAATGTTAGAAGAACGAAAGGTGAGTATGGGCACACAAAGAGTTCAAAGCAGGAGCTCTTCAACTGGAATTCCTGATATGCCCAGGGTGGTTAATAAAAATAATTGGGAAGGGTCAAGAATTCTATAAACAGTTCTAAAAGTCAGTTCACTATACTGATCTGAGGTTCAAAAGGCAAGTAAATCTAGGTTAAAGAAATAGGTTTCAATGACATTCCAAATCTAAGTGGTAATTCAACCAGAGATCACACAGGGAGATGTGAAGATGAGACATGGACAGAGGAAGGGGCCTAGAGAACCCGAACATCTCAGGGGGAACCACTGAGAGATCATGAGAAAGAGAGGCTCGGAGGTGCCCAAAGGCAAGGGATGCATTTTAGAAGGAAGATCATCAAATACAACAGAGGGATTAAGGACAGAAATGTGTCTCCCAAGTACTTAGTGTTTGAGGTGAAATAAACTAATAAAACCAGGGTAATGCTGTAACTGCTCCTGGCAGAGGTGGAGCCAAGGCAGCCTATGTCTCTGAACCATTCTTGCTCTTCCAGACCTACGTGAATACCACGCTTTATGAGAAGTTTACCTATGCAGGAATTGACTGCTCTGCTGAAGAAGCGGCCTAGGATAGAACACCGTCATCTGTGTACCCTCTGTTTCCCCTTCGCTGGCATGAAAGACCCTTGATACCTGCAGAGAAAACGAGAAAGCCTCTGCCAAGAGGTGTGATACGAAAGTGTATATATATTGTTGTACATCTGGGACCTTCACCACAAAACCCCGTGTGTGGATCTGTATTATGCTCTGACTCTACTAGGACTGTATATACTGTTTTGAGTAAGAATGTGCTGAAATCAGAATGCCTGTTTGTGGTTTTGTATGCAATAATATATTTTTCTAAAATGTGGACTTCATAGGAAGGTATGAGAATACAATTACTGTAATGCATAACTTGTGATTGTCCTAGATATTTTTTATATTTACCTTTATATTGAATGCTATAAAATGTTTTGCTGTGTAGAAGCAAAATATTGTTAATAAACCTAACAATGACCCTGATAGCACAGGTTAGGAAAAGGGAGGGAAATGTATGAATTCTAACAGGACATAGGTTAATATTTAAGAAATTGAAAAAATCCAAGTGATATGAGATTCCTCTATCTCTCAATGTTCTCTCTCACCTGTAGAATCCAGTCCAATTTCATATAGTCATGTGACAACTCTGTCTTGTGTTTCCACAGCCTACAAGTCAGTCCAGAATGCTAACATCTAGAAATAGATATAAATCTCATTTCTTAGAAGCTTAAGAGCCTTTAGAGAAATATAAATAAGTTTAATAGATAAAATAATGGGATTTACTTTTAGTTTCTCTGATAATATTGACTTGCATATTTTAAGAAATACTAAAAATAGCCTGGGTGATATTTGGGAGACATGTGACATTTATATTGAATTAACATCCCTACATGTATTGTACATTGTAAAAAGTTTTAGTTTTGACCAGTTGTGAGTTTACCATGTATACTGTAGGCACACGTTGCACTGAGATATTATAAATGAATAAATGTCTTGCCTACTCACATTTCATCAAGAAGTGTGTCTCATAGGTACTGCCAAATGTTTTTATTATGCTTTAAAGAAAAAAATGCCTTAAATTATACATCCCTAACTTGTTAGTAATAAGCATATAGAGCAGTTGGGGAGTATACTCCAGCAGACATAGGAGCTCACAGATCGGGAAGATCAGTCCCTTTTATGTCAAAGCAGTATACCTCCAGTGGTGTTCCAGTGTGAACCAACTGCTTAGAATTAGAATTCCTTTTAATTATGTTACAATGTTAAATATAACAAGTCCTCATTTAATGTTGGTAAGTTCTTGGAAACTGTGACTTTAAGTGAAACTATGCATTGTATTCTGTAGGAACTTAACTTTTGTTTATATCGATTAGCCTATGGTAAAATTGGTTTTGTTATGCAGCATGCCATTTTGCTTAAAGTCAGTTTCCAAGCACCTATTGAGGACTTGCAATAGTTCGACATGCTATATAAACTTCCACGCTCCTGTCATCTTAAGCTTATGTATTCAGAAATGATAACTAGGTAACTGAACTCGTCCCAAATGCTCTTCATTCATAATATCATATTCAAGCAGAGACAGACACAGAGCAAAAGCAAGGCTGCCAGAATAGCATTTACTTAACTAAATGGAAACAGAAATGAAGAGCCATTGAAACATAGGTCCAGTTTGTCATCACCAAGAGAGCAGAGTAAGAATACCAGCCTGCATCCTCCTACAAAAGAAAACAAAACTCCAAATATAGACAGCTATTAACACACCAAAATAGCCCAGAGAGGGTGCAAAGGTACATTAAAGAATCTGCAGCAATACAGTGGAGTGCAAAAATGGAGAACATCCACACAGAAAGAATTGGTAATGTGATTGGCATGCCTAAAACATCAGGGATGGCTGGGAAAAAAAGGAGCAAGGAAGAGGCATCAGACTCAGCCACAGGGCAAAACCATCATGGTTCCCAGTGGCTTGCTCTTTAGAGGACACTGGCATCTCCTGCCACGGAAGCAACAAACAGCCATTCCCACCAGGGAGCCCTAGAAAGGGAAATGCAGCTGCACACCCCTAAGACTACATACCCCTAACACATCCCCACCCCCAGAAGTGGCTGCTGTTGAGCCACTTTTTGGAAAGGAACCATTACCTCTCCCAACCTTGTGCATGCTTCAACCCTGGGGCTGTGGCCACTCCATGGAGCCCATGCTCCAGTCCCAGGCTCTGTGGCTGCACTGGGCCCACCCATGTCTCAGACAGTGAAGTGATTGCCACAGCAAGCCAGTGTGCACTCTGGGCCCTTGCTACATGTGCCTGTACTCCAGGCACCAGCTTGGCCGCCATAGAGAACTAGGCTCTATCCCAGCCTCAGAGCCACCTTAACTCTGATCTCACCCATGCTTCCATTTTTGGCTCCCTTGCTATTTCACAGGCATCTGTACCTCGAAAACTGCTATCAACATGGCAACGAGGGTCCCTGTGTCCCAGACACCATCTCAGTCACCATGGATAACTAGGCCCCTCTCTGATCCTGGAGCTGCTTTAACACTGTGCATGTCTGTGCTTCCACTCTCATCTCTCCCAGCTGCTCCACAAGCATCTGTGCCTTGTATACTGTTTCTGCAGGAGGGGTGCCTCTGCCCTGGGCACCAGTGCCATTGACACCCAGATCCCAGAGCTACAGTCCCTCCACATGTGCCCATGCTTCAGGCCTCGGCTCTGTGGCTGCTCCACAGGCACCAAACACTGGTGCCACCACTATTGCAAGACAGCCCACAAGCCAGACCTAGTGCCAAGATGAATCCCCTTAGCCACAACTTCCCCAGTGGGAGAAAAACAGATTGGGAGGACCTTAGCAGCTATTGCCTCTGAAGACCCCGACAACCCTTGCCACCACTGTGGACATTCACAGCATTGGCTGCTAAGAATCCTTCCAATCTTCACCAACACTGACCTCTGCTGAACAGAGCTGTACAAAGACTACAAAGGTGGCACCCTCACTGGTGCCAGAACTGCTGTACCATCTCCACACCCCTGCAAGTGGCCTCGTACTCCATGGAGAAGAAGTTCTTTCCACAGCAAAACTAGTCCATAAGGTTTGCAAAAGGTGACTGCTCCACCAAATGCTCAGACATCAGTGTAACAAGAAATATGAAAAACCAAGACAACACACCACCAAAACAACACAATAATCTCCCAGTAGCTGATCCCAAAGAAACATGCATTGCCTGATAAAAAATTCAAAATAATTGTTTTAAGAAAGCTTAGTGAACTTCAAGAAAATGCAGAAGAAATTCAATAAAATCAGGAAAACAATAAACAACCAAAATGAGGAATTTAACAGATATTGGAATTATATTATAAAAACCCTGAAATTCTGGAGCTGAAAAATACAATAAATGAAAGGAAAAAAATGCAATAGACGGCAGGCATCAATAGCAGAATTGATAAAGCATAGAAAGAATCTGTGGGGTCGGGAAGATGGCAGATTAGGGGTGACCTCCTGGCTCTCTGCCCCCAGAGTGGGAGGTGAAGAACACGGACACCCACACGTGAGTGAGGCGCTCCCCTGCAGGATCAGCTTCGTGAATCTACGGAGAAGCGGCGAGGGACAAGCAGTCCCGCGGACAAAAATTCAGGTGAACTCAAAAAGCACTCACAAATTACCAGAGAGTTGGGACAAAGGGGAAAGGCATCGCGGGAAGGCCGCGCCCCGCAGCGGGCTAGCCCGGGCAGTGCGATCTGACTCACAGGAAGACAACTCTTCCTTCACCAAACCCCACTCCCACGCAGGCAGGGAAGTGCCGGAGGTCGGTGCGAAGTGGTAGCACAGACGGACAGCGGTGGGGAGCCGAGACAGGAGTGGGGTCCATTTCGAACGCAGCGGAGTGCAGCGCTGGGTTGGCATCAGTGGGGAGGGACCAGCCCAAGCGCGCTCCCCGGATCGGAGGCTGCCCAAGCCCGCAGGGGAGAGTTTGGAGGCAGCTTCTTGCCACAGGAGACAGCTGGGACTGAATCTGGGGAGGGGAACTCCATAAAGGAGGCTCTACCCGCAGAAATTGCTGAAAGTTCCGTGGGTGCTGGGAGGGACACAGCACAGAGTTCTCCCGCGGATCGGTCCAGAGTTGCCGTGGGTAGGGCGCGCGGTGGACTCGGCAGGCGGCCCTGGGACGCAACCCTGGGAATACGCAAGGGCGGACCCTGGCTCCGGATGCCCTCCCGGTGCAGTCGGCTTCAGCGCTGACTAGCAGGGGGTGGGCAGCTGCAATTCGGGGACCCCAAAGCCTCCGACTGCGGGGACTTGTTGCCTGGGCATCTGCCTGAGTCATAGCTGCTGCCGCTGCGGCAGAGCTGGTCGCGCCCTGCGAGGAGAGGCGCGCGCAGCCACTTTTTTTCCCGAATCTGCGGAGTCTGTCGCAGCCGCAGACTCAAGCCCTGCCTCCGAAAGGGCTGAAAAGAGATAAAAAGCGATATTGCTGCTGAGTTTCCAGGCGGTCTCCGGCGGCCCTGTTCCACGCAGTCGCTGGCGCTGTCTGCAAAATGACGGGGAACTGAGAGTGAACTGAGGGAGATTGCTTATAGAACTGTGATCCGGGA